ATTAGGTCGCGGGGGGGTCGCGGTGGGCTCGCAGGGAGTGAAAGAATAAGAAAAAACTTTAATGAAGAGAAGTGAGGAAAAGGACAATAAAAGAACAGGTTTGAAGAAGAGAAAAAATGGCGTTGACGTCGTATTTAAGTTTTGAATGTTGTAGTTGGCAGGGAGGCAAGACATCAGAAGGGAGTTCCACAGGCGTGAAGTGCGATAAAATAAACAATTAAAATAGAAGTGACAGTTGTATCTCACTAGTTCAATAGTAAAAAAGAGACCTAGCTGCCCATCTAGTACAGCGCTTAAATTCATACAGTCGAAACACCAAAGAGGAAAGCTCATCGGAGTCTGGGAAAATATTTGTAGAAAAGACAGAGGGAAGCCACATCACGTCGGTGAGAAAGTGAGCGAAGTCGAGATGCCAAGTCAGGATCGATTACATTACGGATCCTTCCTTAATTTTGTTAAGAACCTCGAGATATTCTACCACGACACAGTGAACCAACTTTCCTATCAGTAGTCATAGCAATTGATTCAGTTTGTCGCCTTATCACTCGTTCGGTCACGACTGTAAAACTCATCTTCTCTCTTTCGTGGGGTTCTTGTGCCTCCTCGATATATATATATATATATATATATATATATATATATATATATATGTGTGTGTGTGTGTGTACGTGTGTGTGCGTGTATATATATATATATATATATATATATATATATATATAAAAATATATGAATATAGATCCGACAGTATGAAGAAAAATATATACGGAAAAAACAGACAAAATCCTTATATACAATTATGCTGTTTTAATGTTAATATGTCAACGTCGGACGTTTCGGTCTAATAAACCATCTTCAGGACATATTCATAAATATAACATTATCAACATGACAAAGACGATGTACATAAGAACAAGACTTATCCAAACAAATAACTGAAAGTTTTATAAGATCAGCGCTCCGTTTAAAACATGTTCACGTTGTCGTCACGTGGGCGACGCTGTGAAAACGTATTCCTAAAATTTTGAGTATTTTGAATGAAAAATGAAAAGAATTCTATTTTGAACTAAAATTTATATGTACGCTTGTCGAGCATTAATGTCGCTAGAAAATGGGAAATATTAAAGAATACTAGACCTGGCTTCTTTATGGCATGGGGCGCGATTTTGGTAGGTCTCCCTTGAGAGCACGTGGTATTATGGTGGTTGAAGGATTGTTTGGTGATGGACGAGTTCTTTTGGTGAATGGGTAAAATGTAATGTACGAATGGGTCGCGAATCTGATTAGCTAGGTATAAGATAGTTAGTGTTGACCAGCCTCTACCCCTCCCCTTTATTGGCCTCGTGCCACAATTTGTACTTTTTGTACGAATAAATATCAGTCTTGTTCTTATGTACATCGTCTTTGTCATGTTGTATTGATAATGTTATATTTATGAATATGTCCTGAAGATGGTTTATTAGACCGAAACGTCAGACGTTGACATATTAACATTAAAACAGCATAATTGTATATAAGGATTTTTTGTTTGTTTTTTCCGTTATATATATATATATATATATATATATAAGAAGAAGAAAACTGCAAACGTTTTTGGTTGTAATGTGGATTTTTTTAAATATATATTATGCTTTATTTTCCATAATATATATATTTAAAAAAATCCACATTACAACCGTTTGCGGTTTTTCTCTTCTTTTTAAAATATACACTTTTCTCTTGTTGGAACAACTATAACCTCTTCCATATATATATATATATATATATATATGTGTGTGTGTGTGTGTGTGTGTGTGTGTGTGTGTGTGTGCGTGCGTGCATGCGCGTGCACGCGCATACAGAGTGCGATGGATAAATTGTCGTCTAAATTACGCAAAAAAACATAAATAATACTCATGAGAGCTCATTTTAACAGATATAGTTACCAAATTCACATAGAAATATCTTGAAATATTGAAGGGAAAATCTATTCAATAAAATCGCCACTTGCTTCAACCGCAGCCTCCAGAAGACTTCAGAAACGTCTGCATCTATTCGGGATGATCTCCTTGTTTACATTGGTGAAGGCTTACACAATTTTTTCATCTTTGGTATTACAAGGAGTTTTGTTCGTCTCTCGCTCATCTGTGCCCTACATATAATAATCAAGGAGGTTACAGTCTATTGAATTAGGTGGCCAGATGTAAAGGATTGTGTAGCTGCAGATATTTTCTGACTGCTATGACTGTGTTCTCCTGCTTGTGTGGCATGGTGCAGAGTCTTCCAGCTGGCATCATCTTGACGCAGAGCAGCACTACCTCATCAAGGCACTTGATGTCCGTTTCCCTGTTGAGTCTGAGGCCCCGTGGGAAGATGAATAGAGGCATAACGTCGCCATCACCAGAGATCACTCCAGACACCTTTGTAATCACCATTAGACTCATACAACTCTTTACGAATATTCTTCACTTCCTCAGATTAATACCAGAACACTCTGAAATAGCTAAATGGTACAACAGGTCAAGTCAAATGATAGTTTCTGTATAGACATACAGGTTCGAGCGCATTTTTTTCTTCGAAATATTCTCGACCGTTTAAGTCAGTAAATATAATACTGTTTAATTAAAAACAGAACATTTACTTAAATAAATTGTATCTATAAAAATAACTTACAAACAGAAAATATATTAAATAATTATTGGGCTTAATCCATTTAATTTTATAGTCATATATATGTTGCCTTGCAAAAGGAATATTTCTTTTTCGGAGAGGAGATAGCTGAAAAAAACCCTGGGTGTAAGTGAATATTTTGGGAAGAGTCGATAGCTGTACTCTCAAAATCTTTCAGTCTAATCTTCACTTTTAATGTGTGCCATTCGTTTTTACATTTTACAGATATATTTTAGTTCTATCGAAATTTTGCACACACACACAACCACACACAGACACACAAATCCATCATTGATTTTTTTTTTATTATCTGTGAAGCATTAAAGCAAAACTAAGTTTGGTGAAGCTGTGAAAGTTTACTCTACAGAATAGTCTACAAGGTTAATATACGGACATAAATACACATACATACGAAGCCCTAAAAATAAACCCGAATGAAGCCCTGTTAGAATGTTGTCACGGGATCCTGTGTGGTTAGGTAATTGCCTCGAAAATACGTTAGGTAACCCAGTGACGCTGCCGAGTCTGTTGCAGTTTCACGCTAGTTCCCACCGATTTCTCGAGACCATTATGCCAAAGTTGGACTCTTAATGGAAATTAAATTAGACGTCATTCCAGTAGGAGAAAGTTTGGTTTTTTTTTTTCACGTAGTGTTAAATAGCACAACGGATATGGCCTTTTACCGACTATTTTTGTTTTGATGGAACGAGAGAGGAAGTGATTGTGTGTGTGTGTGTATGAGAGAGAGAGACAGAGAGGGAGACAGAGAGAGAGAGAGAGATTTCCAATCATTCACCACCGCGAAAAATCCTCGCTGAATATTTCTTTGAAGGAGAAATTCCTTTACATTTTATCCCTCAAACTAATTGATAATTCGTTAATTCCCATTAGAATAAGAAGGCACTCATTTCCACCACATCCTTATTGGGGGGGGGAGCCGGAACTTACGAAATGACATCTACTTGCGACTGCCATTTATTTATTTTTTGTTTTTTTTTTTAATTTCCTCTATGAGGATTTTCGCAGGTTGAGGAAACTTCAACAACATGTAAAACCACCTACAATTTAGGGCATTCCTCCCCCGCCCTAATATTAACTTATTCTCCTCTACTTCAAACCCCCAACGTTGCAACTTGCAGACAGGAAGAAAATGCGTATATGGAATTTTCTAGGTTTTATTCTTGGGAGTTTGTTATCTGTGTGCACAACTGTGGATGGATGCGCGTGTAGTCTAGCGATTATCATCGCTTTACACAAAACTGGTGTGCCGTTTTCAAATGCAGTTCTAGTCAATTGCAGTCATTTTTCAACGAATACTCTTTTAGGAAAGGAGATATTTGAAAAAAAAATCCGAGTTAATATTTTTGCGAGAATTGATAGGCACACTTTAAAGAATTTTCCTTTTCAGTTGGTGTTTCTTTTAATAAGTGTGTCATTGTTTGACATTTTGATATTATTCATATTGTATTTATTTACATCTGCATTTTTCCACTAGTGCGCGTGCACACAAAAAAACATATATATATATATATATATATATATATATATATAAAGCATTCAAACCCAAGCAAGGTGGGAAGCCACTAGCACACAAGGGGTTACAGAGAGTTGGAGCGAGAACAAAGAGGAGTGATAGACGAAAGGATGAAGAGAAGGATAGGGGATAGATCCTGGCATCTGGAGATGTCCATTGACATTACATTTGAATAGTTGGAGATTATAGCTATCAGGAAAACAAGAAATGTGGAGGAAGTTCCAAAGGCGAGAAGTGCGAGACATCAAGCAATTGGAGTAGAAGAGACGGCTACATTTAACAGGTGCCAGCCTAGTTGAGCGCTTAAATTCATATATATAGATAGATAGATTATCATCCACATACAAGCCTGTTTCGCAATTTCACAGCTTATCAGTGAGACATCCGATTGTCTCAAGCCGGGATCGAAACGCGACCGATTTAGCATCAGCCCTAAGCTATCGGCGCACGGCAGAAAAAGGAAAATTTTTAGCGTATTATATACGTGATGCATACGAGCGCCAGTAGCTAATAGAGCTCATTCATAACTGAAGAGCAATGAAGCAACCACTGTTTTTTTTTTAAATTACCCTTTCTCTAGAGTGTTATATATATATATATATATATATATATATATATATATATATATATATATATATATATGGAACGACATGAAGACGTTGAGTAGGGTGACTTCTCGACTTACAGCCAAATCACGTTGAAACTCAATTTCCCGTACGATTCACTGAAGTTAAGCAACGTCGAGCCATATCAGATGGGCGACCGCTTTGGAATGGCAGTTGCTGTAAACTTGTATGTGCGGGTGATGTAATGGGCTTAAGGCCACATCACGTTAAAACACTGGTTCTCGTACGATTGCCAAAGTTAAGCAATGTAGAGCCTTGTCAGTACCTAGATTGGTGACCGCTTAGGAATACAAGGTGCTCTATAATTGGATATGCGAGTGGTGCAATGAACAACGGCCATATCATGTTGAAACAAAGGATCCTGTACGATCACTGAAGTTAAGTACCCTCGAATCTTTTCAGTACTTAGATGGGTGACCGCTTGGGAATACGAAGTGCATGAATGTGCATGTGGTGTAATAGATAACGGTCATATCACGTTGAAACAGAGGTTCCCGTGCGATCGCCGGAATTAAGCAACGTTGAACCTGGTTTCTAGTTATATGGGTGACCGCTTGGGTATATCAGGTGCGCAGAGCTTGAATGTGCGGATGTTGCATTGGATAACAGCACAGAATTAGAAATCGGAGAGCCGAGTTTCAATTCCAGTTACATTCACTTTCGCGCAAACATCCTTGGTAAATACCTTTTCTCCCCTCGGTTATGGATTAATTAGTAGGAATTCTATCAGTATATTCATTATTATCTCTTCAAAATTCTCACAATCTAAAAATATTTTCGGGTTTTACATTATTTTGAAAAATGCAAGATAAGTCGTAAAAAATAAATTAGACAATCGATATATGACTTAACTGGGCCGACTAGGGCAAGTACCCTTGCTTAGCAACCTATGTAGAAGAAGGAAATCTCTGAATTCGATATCCGCTGGAGGTTGGGTGAGAAACCGCACCCTGGAAAAAACTACAGAAACCACATCAGCAACACCTATCGTGGCGATATATATATATATGAAGAAAAATATATACGAAAAAAAAAAAAAAAAAAATCCTTATATACAATTATGCTGTTTTAATGTTAATATGTCAACGTCGGACGTTTCGGTCTAATAAACCATCTTCAGGACATATTCATAAATTATAACATTATCAATACAACATGACAAAGTTATAATGTTAAATTTATGAATATGTCCTGAAGATGGTTTATTAGACCGAAACGTCCGACGTTGACATATTAACATTAAAACAGCATAACTGTATATAAGGATTTTTGTTTGTTTTTTTCCGTATATATTTTTCTTCATACTGTCAGATGTATATCCATATATTTTCTTATATATATATATATATATATATATATATATATATATATATATAGGTTATACTTTAACAGAAGATTCTGCAAGGTTCTCATTATAGTCGTCAATTCGTCTCCGACTACATCCGTCCGCTAAGGCGGCGAGCAAATCCCATTTGCAGACACTTGTGGTCTATATTGCAACTAGGCTAAGAAGGCTTAAGTTACAGTTTCTGGGAGAGAAAGCAAAATCTGGCGTGATCAGGAGTTTTGTACAAGGCCAGTACGCTGAAATCTCGGTAACGAAACCTTGTGACATCATGCTGTCATATCCCTCGACGGATTACAACCAATTCCGCATGTCTAATTCCATTCACAAAGCTTGGGTCAACCGGTGTTATATTTTGCAAACAATTTCCAAAGGTCCCGATAGAAATGTGCAATTTAAGACAATTTTACTGTTAGATATATGGCAAATATCAACGGTACCCAATTAAGTACTCTTTGTTTTTCAAAGTACAGACTGGCTCAAGGACAAAAAATTCGAGTTCTAGTAAAGGTTGAACGAGGTCGTGATTTCATGCAAACACATCCATCGACAGATTACAATGAATTTGAGCATTCTAATGTACTATAATTGGCGCCCTAGACTAATAGGCCGGCCAACTGTATCCAATTAAAAACTATTTCTATTTCAAAATATAAGCTGGCTCAAGGACATGAAATTGTAGCTTTGGTAAAGGTTGATCGAGGAACCGATAGCAATTTGAGCATTATATTGTACTACGGTTTCGACAAATAGGCCGGCCAACTGTACCCAATTAATAATGTTTCTTTTTGAAAGTACAGACTAGCCCAAGGACAAAAAATAGTAGCTCGGATAATGGCTGATCGAGGCCGCGATGGGAATTTGAGCATTCTCTTGTACTACAACTTGCGCCCTAGATAAGCAGGCAGGTCAGCTACACCCAATTAAATAATGTTCATTTTATTTAAGTATAGTGCAGTTCAAGGACAAAAAATTGAACTTCTGGTAAAGGTTGATAATGAGAAATTGAGCCTTTTATTAAGACGTCCAAGTTAAAGAAATAGAAGTCAACAGTATTCAACAAAATACTGCTTTTGCTTTACAAAGTATAGATTTAGCAATCTATCCTTATACGGCATGCAGCCTATATTAATATACATATATCAGCGGTATCAAGTTAAATACTGTTTTCTTTTTCAACGTATAGTCTGGCTCAAGGACAATAAAATAGAGGACTAATGGTCTACGTAGCAGTGATAAGTTTGGTATACTGTCTTACTTTGGCATGCGCTCTAGGTAAATAAGCAGAAGAAAACGTACGCAATTAAATTCTGTTTTTTTAATAAACTGGCTGAAGGACAACTATTTGGAGCACCAGTGAAAATAGGTCCAAGCAGCAACGAATAGTTTATCATTCTATCTGTTTAATTAAAGTATGCGTTTTAATTAGACAGAAATCAACGGAACCCAATTAAATAATCTTTTTTCAAAATATAGCCTGGCTCAAGGACAACAAGATTTAAGCTCCTGAGAAAACTGATCGTGGTAGAGAGATCAAAAATGTTCTATCGTATTAAAGCACGTGATCAGGCTAAATAGAATTCAATGACATTAAATTAAATATGAGTATCTATTTATCTATCTGCCTATATCAGTGTGTTCATTATCTATCTATCTATCTATCTATCTATCTATCTATCTGTTTGTCTCAGTCTTTTCATTATCTAACTAGCTAGCTAGCTACTAAGTCCGTTCATTATGTAGCTATCTAGCTATCTGCTTATCTGAATCTGTTCATCATCTATCTCAGCCTTTTCATTTCTATCTATCTATATCAGTTTGTTTATTATCTATTTATCTCGATGAAATGATTTTTAAGCATAGTCTGGCTCAAGGGCAAAAAGAGGAGCACCACCGAAAAGAGATCTGTGTAGTAATGAGATGTTTAGCGTTCAATTGTTCTAATGCATGCGTCCTAAATAAGCAGAAGTGAACAGTGCCCGATTAAACACAGCTTTTTTTTATTTTTCTCTTCTTTTTTTTTTTAATCTGCGACTACTGTCATCATTTTTGTTACAGCGTTGATTTCATGCGCAAAGACATGTGCTTCATTAACACCGGCTTCAGTAGCGAATAACGATTTGTTTCGAACGCAGGCGACAACCAACGCCGCTACCACTCCAGCAGGTATCCGTCGATTGACTAGTTTCGTTTTGACATATTTGCAACACATTATCAGCAGCAGTTATCTCCCTTCAATGCACGCCATGCTGAGTAACTGTCACTGCTTTCCCGCGCATTTCACGTTTATGACAGTTTTTAAACATGCTTCTTTCTCTCTCTTTCTAACTCTCTCTCTTTTCTGATTCTCTCTCTCTCTCTCTCTCTCTCTCTATATATATATATATATATATATATATATATATATATATATATAGAATTTTATGTATGCATTTATGTACAGTTCACCAAAAACATATGCATTACACTTCAGAAAAGGAAAACGTGTATAGATATTGTAATAGTAAATTTATTCAGGCATCACAAGATTAATACAATTTATAAGTGAATTCGACAATCGCAAGAGATGCTCAAAATTTTGGTGTTGAACTTATAGACATTTATTAGTATGACGAACTACTAGTTGGGAAACGTTAGTTAAAGTGTCCACTGGGATTGATCTACATGCATTTTCAGTTTCTTGTTTCAGGTTTGCCAATGTACTGCCATCTGTCGAGAAAATGTACAACAGAAAACAGTGTTATCGCAATTTGATAAAACTACATCCTTTCCTGAAGTCCGTATACATTTTTAGCGCATATATATATATATATATATATATATATATATATATATATATATATATATGTGTGTGTGTGTGTGTGTGTGTGTGTACAAATATAGTTTAAGGTATGCCATATTTATGGAATAATGTGATCAATATCAGAGAGCGTGTGTAAATATAAACGTAAATCTAGAAGTCAACACGACAGTCTGTTTCATATTAAACGCAATCTTCAAGCCACATGAGTTACGTATTTCTAGACTATTTATATATACGGGTCAATGCTGCATTGTGGATAGACTATTGCATTGTGGGTAGTCTATTCTAACAGTTTTTGGCGGGAGTGGTTTGTTAATTTTTTATTATTTACTTTATTTATTGATTTATTTATTTGGATTAATTTGTTTAACTTGTTTTTGCTTATATATTTTTATTTTACTTATTTTTATTTATTTATTTCAGTTTTCGATTTTTAAGTAGCGTAGTAAAAAATTGTTTTCGTTTCTGCATTCTGAGATGAGTTCTGATCATTTATTTAGTAGTTTGTTTTGGTCTGGGAAGGTAATTATTGCCATTTTTCCTCCAAGCAGAGTTTGCAGGTTTTGAATTGATTGTTGTAATTTGATGTTATTTTCCTTATTTTACGAGGTATTTTTAGTATGATTTCTTTTTATTTTCAAAATGAAATACAAAACTGAGTGTAAGAAAATACATTTGAACTTTGATGATAAGAGGAGCAATACATTATGTTACCATATCTGATCCGGCGATCAGAAGGTGTTTGCTTGTTTTTGTTATATACACACACACACACACACACATATATATATATATATATATATATATATATATATATATATATATATATATATATATATATGTCTTTGTGTGTGTGTGTGTGTGTGTGTGTGTGTGTGTGTGTGTGTGTGTGTGTATGTTTTAATTTCCCAGATAGACTTGCAATGTTCGCGTATTTACTATTTGTTAAAGATGTTTTATGTGCGAAGTTTCTTTGTCTCCAGGGTCCTTTAGTTACTCATGTATATTTTTTCTTCGTTATCTGATGGTTTTACTATGGTTTGGTATATTATATTATTTTGTAAGCAGTTGCCGTTTAAGAGACTTTCTTTCTTCATTCTGCACTTACAAGTGGGTTTAATTTGTTTGGATGGTTTGTTGATAGTTTTCCTGTTGTACTTGTTTTATTATGTGTGTCATATTCTCGGTGCAACTGCAGCTGATTTTTACTATGTTTTTGTTGAATATTTTGTGGACAGTGCTTGATTTGGGGAAGCGTTTACGTAAGATATTGATGTATAGTTTTCCTG